CTCTCTCAATCACTCTCTCTCAATCACTCTCTCTCAATCACTCTCTCTCAATCACTCTCTCTCAATCATTCTCTCTCAATCACTCTCTCTCTCTCAATCACTCTCCCTCAATCGCTCTCTCTCTCAATCACTCGCTCACTGGAGTTATGATGACGCAAAAACAAAAGAACGGGATGTGCGATTTCTGACCCATTCCGGATCACTGTGCGACTGTGGCGGCGGCATCGGCATAGACGGCTGCGGTGGCGGCGCTAAAGGCTGTTTGGAAAGTAGCTGCCAAGTGTTTCGTTTCCTGCGGAGCGGAATAATGCACGATCGTCGGGCCTTTTGTAGACCCCGGAGGAGCGACGTTGATGGACGATGCTTCGCCAGACTAACGCTCTAGCGCTCGGTCGATTTTCACGGGAATGTCGAAGCCCGACACGTGCTCGCGCTAGATACCAGAAGTGTTCTTTGTGATGGGCGTTACCTGGGCGAGAGTGGCGACGAGAGATAAAACAGGTCATTCCTGCTCGCATTTTGATTTTTTCTTTCTTGAGTGCGTCTTTTGCCATACTTTCTGCAAAACGTTCAGAGGCTAATTAGAAATTCGACTCGCAAAATATTGTTTGCTTGGGTCGGAGGAGCAGGAGCTTGGAACGGTGTCGAAGTATGCGGACTCGCAGGGCTAGATTTTGGTAATGTGGGGTTCCAAAGCACAAAGCCGTACTGGTGAACACTCCAGAAGAAAAGCTCCCAAATTTTCTAAAAACGATGGATTTTTTGAAAAACACATGTATTTAAAAATTAGGCTAATCATATTATATATTGTTTGCTAACGAGGCGTATTTCGTTTCTTTTTGGATACTTTATTTCTGGTAGGTTTAAAAAAGAGATGTAAAGGAGATATTTTGCAGTTTTAAACCATTTCTCAAATCCTTGCCGTTACGGGTTTTACAACATTTTTGCCAGAATATATTTAATTCGCGTTTCTCTTTAATAAACACAACTATTTGCGTGTTCAGAAGGTGAAGGTAAATTACATCCGGGTTCACCTACCAGGAGGAGGAGGACAAACAAGTACACTGTGTTTCATTGTGAAGAGACATACGCAACTTCACCCACCTACGCTTAGAAATAAGTATTAAACACACAATATTGCTGTTCATTTCATTAACTTAAGTAAATCTGTATTTGCCTATTCATTGTGTGTCAGGGGTGGCTATTGGCATTGGGTTTATTTTCTCCTGATAAGATCTCTTGAACAGCGAACGCCCTATCTGATGGTGTCGGGCGTGCTGAATAGCAATTCGTTCAGAAACGCCCCTTACGCTGGATGGCGACTGAGAGAGGATAGGAAAGGTAATACATTACTCTCTGTTGTAGATATTCGCTTCTTCGGTTCCGCGGTATCATTAAACTCATCTTGTGGAAATTTTAATAGGATTCGTAAAATGCTACTCGTAATTTAATGACCCTCCAAAATTACAAAAAATTCTATAGTTCGACAAGTGGTGTGAGTTCCTCCGTAACAAAAAATATTTACTAAAAAATTGCATTTCAGTGTAAAGGTAAGATTAGTAAGATTGGTAAGTCTAGAGACGTAAGATTACCACCTCAAAATGTTACAAAACATTGGTTTAAAAAATTTCCTACAAAAATTGAATCGGATATAATGTGCAAAATGTGCTTCCCACCAAAATAAGACTACAAAAGATGGTAATAATCAAAGGCACTCGGACAGGGCCTGGGGTAAGATGCCCCAGTTTATCGTAATTTGTAATAAATATTTATGAGCAAGTTCAAATATAATATTCATCCCCATTCTTTTCAACTAATTTTTTAAAGTAAAAAATATTAAAAATAGTATTTTAACTGTAGTTAAAGTATGATGAACTTATATAATAACATACAGATGACCCACACTAGACGAACCTACTGGGGCTTGAAATGACAGATTTTCTCATTCTTTTTACGCTCGGATGCTTCTCGATATTTCATCACCGTCTCCTGCTACCTCTCAGGGTATAAGAGACATTTTTTTCAATTTTTTTCTTCAATTTTTGGTCCTCAAATATTAGTATTGAAATATGACGTTAAGTATATTATAGAAGAGTTAAAAGTGGTCAGATATGTTAATTTCCAGAGAAAAAAATTTGGGCGTTTCTGAAAATGCGCAATTTTGAGTTAATTTTCACAAAAAACTTTTCAGTTTTCGAGAAACGTCAATAGAAATCGTTGTTCACAATCCGACAGACCGGACGGACGGACGGGAACGAATATTTCAGTACCAACTACACCCACACGTGGATACTGAGTTCACAAGGTGTCAGATTGTGTAATTTATTATATAGGAACAAGATGTTTCAATGTTTTCGGTATCAGGTTCCTAAAGTATGAATTTTTCCGCCGAAAAATCGCTGTTTTTCCTTGCCACATAAAGTTACTTTTCTACACTACCTATATAGTTTGAGAGAAAGTAATGCACCAGGATCTTATGCTACTTGTACTAAACAACATTTTTTGTGTTTACTTTTGTTAAGAAACATCGTTACGAAGATGTATGACAGTATTTTTTTGTAACGTGATTCATTATCATTTTAACTGTTTGCCGGTCTTTATTCTTAAATACTTCTTATAATCCATTCTTAAAACTTGAACTGGCGCGCAACTTCGGCTTGAGGCTTCTTTGCAAGATCAATTGTCATAGCACTCAATTTAAGTTATTTTTGGTATAAATAAAATTCTGCTACTAAAAGCGCAGAAAAGTATTGTTACTCTTACAATGGTGTGCAGTTATACGAAATGAGATAATTTCAAACTTATAAGATCATCAGTTTTCCAATGCAAATATGCAGGCAACTTTTGGTACTAACTTGCCTTGGCAGCTCTGAATTTGAAAAAAATCACCGGATTTCCGCGTGGTTGTTGCGAATACTATGCTTATATGGGGGTGAAAAGATTCACTTCTTTTCTGTATTAGAAATTCAAAGTATTAGTATACTCGTGCAATATGTATTTGTATGTTATTTTTGCTGAATTATAAGGTGTTTCGCTTTTAACAAACCTTCTGTGACAGTGGATTTACATTTGTCAGTGGAAATGCATTTGTTTTTCATTTCGAAATTCACTTAATGATTTTTTAAATTAAAATTCTGGTAAAGTAATGCAATGATTTGAAACTATGGTTAACTGAAGCAAGAAATCAAATGTTCATTTTCAGTGGCAGAAAAAAAATAATTATCGATTCTCATTCTTTACTGTGTTCACTTTAATTTATTTTCGCATTCTCTAATGGTATCTTCTTTTTGTATCTACAGAACACTGTAACTTTTGCAATGAAGTTTCGTTCAGTTTTAATTAGGTTAAATTTTCGATAAGAAACGTCGACGTCACGGAACAGCATTGAATCGTAATGTTTCCGCAACTAATATATGACCGTATGCGCGTTGATGAAGACATGTGAGTACGTTTCTTCATCTATCACTCGCGCTGTCGTGGTACAGTCAGTTACTTATGAAAGTTTGAAGTTGTGCCTGCAATATTCAATACCTTTTCCGTGCTCGAAAATCAAAATGTGAAGGTGAATTCAACGACAGCTTGGAGTAAATGCGAGAAAATAAATTTTTGTGGAGATGACTTCAAAGAAAATATTTCTAAACGTGTGTTTTAAAAATGCGTACGTCAGGTAAAATATTCATTATCAACTTTATCGTAATGACAATGTTCTCATTGTTATTCTCTACTTGTTTTAAAAGTTCTTTCCCTCCTGGTCTGTGACATCTGTGCGGGTGTAGATATGGAGGGTAAATTTTTGTTTGAAATGAGGGACTCCTGTGAATCTACTGTCCCAGGTTTCTTGTTATATCTTGACGACCCCAATAGCAATATAATACACTACTCGTTTGAATGATAGCAGTCGTTAGTGTTAAAATTAATGATAATTATAATTTTACAAACAACATAAGGTAACCGAATGGCCGAGATCGTTAAGACAGTAGTATTTGTGTTCGTCTTTTCGTCCCCTTTAATCACCGTACTATGTCATCTTCACAGTTACCATACCATTAAATGCAATAGTGGTCGCTAGTGAGATAGATATTGATGCGACCTTAAATAAAAAAAATAATTTAAATTTATTAATCATATTAAGTTTTGAAAATGAATATTTATTTACAAGTATTTTTCTTCCATTATACAACTTATAATTAAACAAAACTTTTGTCAGACCTCCGTAGAGGGAGAGAGAATGGCCGCTTTCCCGTCGCTGGCTGATTCCGTCATTTCTAACAGGTCTGTTCCGCCGCGCTGAGACGTGCGGGAGGGGAGCGATGCGGGCGCCCGGAGGCGGCGCGTGGGCGAGTGAGCGAGTGGGCGAGTGAGCGAGTGGGCGAGTGAGCGAGTGGGCGATGGCGCCCCTGATACGGTGACGCCTGCGATGCAAGCGGTCGCGCCTCCGCGGGGGCGTCGCGTCGCGTCGCGTTGCGTCCCGTCGTCGGTGTGCGTTGCGGACGGCACCTATCGATTGCGTACGCGGCCGCCCCCGCCCCCGCGCTCGGCCCTCGGCGACAGACGGGCCTCTTCAAGGCCGCCCTCAGAGAGAATTCCAGGATAGAATTTGAAAGAAAAAAAAAGAAAAGAATGGGGGCAAGCTCTAAGCTTCCTACCGATCCTGACATATGTGGTTGTTCAGTGAATTTAGTGTGTAAGGGTCAGTATAGGACAATGAAGAGGGAGGAAGATCGCGCACGGTCCGTGGCCCGTTTGTTACGTTACTACTCCGGCTTTCGCCTCGTGTTGATCGGATAAATCACCTAAAACTACCTATCAGAGCAGCCGGTCTCTAGAATTCTTTTCGAGGCAACGGTTGAATTCGACCTAGCTACAAAGCAAGATCCCAAAATCCGATACCGTTGGGCTCGAACCTCGAACCTAGCAACTAGTACCTAGTACCTAGTCGCAATCGTATTCACAACACAAACGCGCCTAACGACCATTGTAGTTGACGCGCCTGGAAACCTCAATTAATCAATCCGATCTGTTTCAATGCCAGTTTCAAGATCTGCCACTACTCCCAAAGCGAAGTAGAGAGACGGAGTTAAGAGGGAGGGGTGCAATGGCGGGGTTCGGGGGAGGTGGAGCGGGAGCGACTGGAGGCGGAGTGAGTGAGCGAGCGCAGACGACAGAGCGTATGGTTATGGGGGCTCTGGGGAGCTGCTGGGGCACTCGAGGTCGGCAATTTCGCAAATGCTGCCGACGCCCGAGAGAGGGTCGTTGGCGGAAATCTCGTTTTACGTCTTTCCGGAATACACTGCCTTAGCGGCGAACGTTGTGTGGCCACGATGTTGGGAATGTGTTTTCTTTCCCAGACGCCTTCCTAAGGACTCGAGTATTGCGTTCTAATTTTGTGGTTAACTTCCTTTTCTTGAGCGTTTTTCATTAGTCTTTTAATTAGATTTAATGGATTAGAACGTAAATCGCGTCTAAGCGCATCCGCCCCCATTTGGCATTCAACTGAACTTCTATGGCCATTTCAAGAATAGAATACTCTGAATACTTTAAGATTGATTTACGAAATAGGTAGCCAACGCGTCGGTCCAGATTGGTCAGTCTACCATCAGGTCATTTGAGATAGCTCGCGGAGAAATTTTAACAAACTTGGATTTTTAGCATTTTGAGATGGGATTATCGCCGCTAGAAGGGGGGAGAAGGGAAAGGGGAGGGGAGATGGGGGAGAGGGGGAGGGAGGCTGAGTATTGACTGTTGAAAACATATTAAGAAGTGCAAGTTCATTCTAGAAAGAGCACGGGTTGAACTAATAATGTATCCTGATTGTGAGACTGTTCAAACACGAGAACAGTGTTTATAAATTTCAACAAAATTCTATTTCTTATCCTTATAAAGAAAATGAAGTGAATTATCGATTAGTACCTTATATTTCGTAGTAAATCTATAATTAACAATTTTATAAGAAGCTCACATAGACGACGTAATTCTGTGGGCACAGAGCAAAAGTTCATATAAAAAATTCATTAACTAAACCTATCTATTTAAGAAGATATTATGACCACATGATTAAGTTATCAAGTATGATGTAGACAATACAGTGCTCATTTACATCACACGGTCAATTGAGGGTTAAGAGGAACATTCGTACAACGAATCGGTTGCAAGATTGTTCTTCTTACACAAGTTGCGAGTGTTCATTAATGTTCGTTGAATGTTCCGAAATGTACATCTTCTCTTGTTCATTTATACTTTTATTAAAAATCAACAAGATTACAATAGTGTTAGATTCACTAGTATTGAAATACAACTGATACTCACTCTACTATTTCCATTTCAAGAAATCAAGCATAATTGAATCAAGCAGATCGAATGTGGCAAATCTGTTTTGATATCTCGCTAAATATTGTTTCGAAAGTGGAATAGAGCACGAAGTACGAATGCTTCTGAAGGATTAAGTACTCTAGAAGAGTGTAAATATAATTTGAAAATCTCTTTAGAGTTATGTAAGACATTACTTTTTCATGTAACATAGTTAACAACTCGTTTGAGTAACGTTACCTTAATGAAGTCATAAAAGGGTTTATTGTCCTTTATTTGACTTACGAACCGTAAACACGAATTTAATTACTGCTTCTGTTTATCCAAGAAAATGATAAACAGTCCGTTACTTTAGTTGAATATTTAGGGGTAAATGTCAGAGACCGTACGTGTGCATGTGTGATTTCAAATATCTCAACCGTTAAGGCTTTCCTCGTTAATTTATGGACACGTAAATGCAATTTTGTTGTTAAAAATGAAAGAATATGTTTCCTCCAGGTTTTGATAGCTGGGAAGATATAATTAAAAAGTCTCATTTAAAACTGAACTAGTAAAAATATTTTCAAATCTTCGTTTATCCGTTTTTTCATTAAATTTATATTTTTTGTTCCATAAATCGCTAAACCTAGTAGAACATCGTACAATTAGTTCAACTTTTTCTTCGACGTGGCAAAATCAAAGGAAAATTATGATGGAACGGTCTTTCATCTTCTCTGGTCATTTACCAACTTGAACGAATTTTAATATTTCATCTTTGATGCTACTTTGTTATTTTCTGTTTCTTTCCATGTTCATGGCAAAAGGCCTTTCACATTAATTTTTCATTATAAATTTAACACAGTACTTTTGTGCATTAAAGTGACCATCGCCTGCTAATTTGAAATGATAAAGAAACATTCTTGTAGATAATATTCATTCTAATAGCATTATATACGAAGCTCAAAAGAACCTTTCCTTAGGCGGAGCTTTCTGCCGGAGCCATTTCTGCTCTTATCTCGTTGTCGTTGGCCTCTCGCTGCGGCGCGGGGGCATTATGCAAGTGGAGCGTAATAAGGTGCGAAGAGCACGCGCGTTGAATCGCGGGCAACACCCCACCCACCCCGCGTTGCCGCTGCGCTCCATCTCCCTGACGCAGTCCGCCATTGCCGCCGCGGCTCTCGCCTTCACACCCGCCCTCCCACCCGCCCGTCCACAACCCGACCTCCCACCCGCCTTCCACCCCGACCCACCCGCCTACCACCCGCCTACCCACCCCGCCGTCACACCCCGCTACCACCCCCGTCACACCCGCCTACCCACCCGCCGTTCACACCGCCGTCACACCCCCGTCACACGCCTCCCCACACCACGCCCGTCACACCGCGTCACACCCCGCACACCACCCGTGCCTTCACCGCCCCCCTGGTCCACCGGCTACCTCTGCCATTTTACCCACGCCTCCGTCGCTTCCGATCGTTTCCCAACCACCGCTCCCATCGCCAAGACCGGATCCACTGTTAAACCCGTTCTCCTTCCCCTTCCTCCTTCTGCCGTCACTCCCTGTCTCATATCCTTCACACCCGTCCCACGTCTCCACACCACCGTTACCACCTTGCCACCCTACCTCACCGCACCCGCCGCTTCGTCTATGCCAGCTCTCCCACCCCCGTCTTGCCGTTCCATATTTCTGTCCTCCTCCATCCCTCTACATATCTATATCTGTACAACTCCGCCTTCCGCGCGACCTCCTGCCCCCCCACATTGTTGCCCTATCCGCCTCTTCGCCCGCCGCATCAACTTCCGTCCGTGTTGCTACTCACGTGCTCCCGCTCACGCGTCTGTTACTGTGTGCCCTCCCCCGCCTATGATCTGCGCACGCCTTGCCAAAACCATGCGCCTCGACGTTCCCGCGACAGCCACGCTGCAGCCACAACCACCGCTCTCTCATCGCCACAACCAATTGTCTCGACACACCGCCGCTGACCCAACCCAAATCCCCGTCCAAAAGCCGAGGCGCCCGCAGCCGCTTCAACCCCGCCCAGGCCTCCCTCGTCTCTTCCTCCCTCCCGTTCCCGCCCCTTTGTGGGGCGGCGCGACCTGGTCGTGTCTCGGGCCGGTGCTCCTTACTTGGCCTTTAAGCGGCTGTTAAGCGCCGCCGCCCGCTGCCGAGTCAGCAATTGCTCCGCCCCGACGCGACCTCCTCGCCGCTCAGAGTTACGCGCTCTCCGCCGCGCTGCCTCAAAGCTGCTGCGAATCCTCTCGGGCGGAGGCGCCGCCCGCCCCCGCCCCGCCCCCCCCGCCCGCCCCGCCACGCCACGCCACCCTGCCACGCCAAAGCCTTCTCCCTATGCTCTGAGCTCCTCCACCCTGTCCATTTGTTTCTTTTTTCCTGGTCATGTGATGGTAGTTTTCGTGGCGAGTTCGCGTTTACATTTTTCACACAGAAGAATATTGAAAAATCGTCTTTATGGTTATGCAGAATTTTTGGGCTCGAATGTTATTGGGTGAATTCTGACCAATTACCTTGGTATTGACATTGAACCGTTTTGAAAAATGCCGTTATTTGTTTGAATAAAACTTGAATGAAACATCGCATGTTTAGAATTTAATAATATAGATAGCAATAAACTTTATAGCTGTTACTTGTCATTGATTGCCATTACCAATACATGTATATCTATGTTCCTTCCGCTGTTCTAACTAAAATATTGTTTCTAATACAAATACGGCTTTCCTTGGTGAAAAAATCTTCAAAATCTCTATTCTCATTACTTTACTTCCGCGGCCGTCTTCTTGCGTTTTCATCTCGCCGTTTCTTTAAAGACTTATACCTTATTTGGCATATTTTTACTTAAGATAATCGTGATTACACTTTTGTATTTACTCACTTGAAACATACACCCAATCTATATACATATGCTAACCAGGTGGTAACAGCTTTATTCCAATTTACACCACTTACAAATTCCCACAGTGAGTTGATAAAATTACTCCTGATGAACCGGGATGTTAACTTTAAAGAAAGTAAAAAACAGGTTGCACGAACCCACTTGGGAGCGTGCAAAATCAAGGTGCGGATTAACTGGCATTATAAAACCACCAACTGCAAAAATGTGACGCATATTTTTGTTTCAAGAGTATTCTTTCCTAATTTTTAGTAGACTAAAGTTGTATCTCAAACTTTACACCATGTGTTAATTTTACCACCATGAGTTAATTTATACACATTGAGTCTAATTTTACACCATTGAGTTAATTTACACCAATTAGGTAAAATTTTTTACACATTGAGTTAATTTTACACCATTGAGTTAATCTTTACACCAATTGATGTTAATTTCTAACACCATATGAGTTAATTTTCACCATTGATTAAATTTACACCATTGGAGTTAATTTGTACAACCATGATTATTTTATCACCATTGATGTTAATTTTACACCATGAGTTAATTTTACACTTGAGTTTTTTACACCTTGAGTATTTTACACCATTTATGTTTAATTTACACCATGGAGTATTTCACATTGAGTAATTTTTACAATTGAGTTATTTTACACCATGAGTTATTTGACCATTTAGTTGTTAATTTACACATTGAGTTAATTTACACCATGAGTTAATTATACCATTGAGTTAATTACACCATTGAGTTTAATTTTACACCCATGAGTTAATTTACACCATATGAGGTTCATTTCAACAATTCATTGAGTTGATTTACATCATTGAGTTAATTTTACATCATTGAGTTAATTTTACATCATTGAGTTAATTTTACATCATTGAGTTACTTTTACACCTTGGAATATAAACAATGCATTGAATCCCTAAACTAATAAATTACTGTACATTTTTACGAACTTTTTGATGTATATTACTGATCTTTAATTTTTAATCGAGTTCTTACGCTCAGGAAATGCTCTTTTGACTTCTTTATACATTTTGAGGACAAGGATGAAACACTGCGATTTCTTTTCCAAATAAATAGTGTGTTATTCACCTTGTAAAACTGCTGTTATCTTTGTTACAGTTCTCAAAAATGGATCTCGTTCTTCGATTCTCTAAATATTTATGCTGTGAATCACCCTTCTGGTACTGGTAAATTGATGAAAGGGATTACCACTGAAATTAATATTATTGAAGTAATCGGATATGGATCATGTTTTTGGAGTTTAATTATTATCTCAGGCAGAGAAATGAAGTGTGCACCAGTAGAGCAGTTTGCCTTGTATGCCTTCTGTGTATGGATGCATGAATTGGTTCTAGTCGCATTTAGATACAGAAAAGGAAATACCTTCTTAATACAGTACCTTCAGTGTATGACCAGGAAAAAAGTGCAGCATTGACTACCTACTTAGGTACCTACCAGGGCAGATTCGAATCCGAGGTCTTTCATACGGACCAATTTACACTGTAAAAGTTCTAACCACCCGAACGATCCATGTTTTTTTCGTAAAACATAGGTTATGTAGTATCAGAATTAAGCGATTACCAAGCCGTTTCGTATTACATGATATATATCTTGTCTATCAAATGGTATCCATGTTCTTTGCAAAATTTTGTGTAGTAACATCAGAAATGATTGAAACAATAAACTTCTATTTCTTTGTAAAAAATTTGATGACAATAATTTCTAGTTTTTACGATGTAGTTAATAGAATTTCAGTTCCACTAACATTTTAGTTTTTCAACAAAATGGCGTCGGAATTATTGTAGGTTTTCCTGTTTTGTACAGAACTACTTACAATTAGTAACATTATGACAATGTTGCGATGTTCTTTTCTAATGTTCCATTATAACTGATCTGATGATTTACTTGACAGTACGACACCATTCGAAGTAATATGAAACATATTCAACTATTGCGCTCTCACAGACTTCGAAGTAATTCACCCCCTCTATTTCTTTTGAAGCTCTGTTGAGCTCTCTAGGTCGCTTCGTTTTCCTTCGCCTTTGTTCCTTTCCTTCCGCTCTCTGATCTCTCTCAGGCTGTCGCAGGAGAGGCGTAGGGGACATGAAACCTCTCTTGAAATGAGCCCGACTCAAATAGGCCAGCGTACTACTTACTTTGGACCTCAAAGCCTCCTCTGCAAGCCTCAGCCATTCATACTCTGAAAAGCAGTGTATATCCGACTCTCAAAAGAACATTATGAAAGGAATCAGTAAAAGAGCTGCGATTTTTAAAGACACGATTACAGGAATATAAAATAGTATATTAGAAAGGAAGTATGTTATGCAGAAATGTGAAATATATTGGAGGATTAAGTGTTAACTTCATGATTATTTGTTGGAAAATTAGCTTGTTTAGGAAAAACGCAATAAACACGCGTTTGAGGTTTTTGGAACTTGATACCTTTCAAAATGTATGTAACTATATCCAGGGTAGATAAACTTGTTTGCCTTACGAGACAAGAGACGAAAACTGAGTCTCATGGTCAAAGAATGCTAAGCAATGTTGTACCAAATTTACATTGTTATAGCCAAAAGTTATAGAATACGTTTTGGAGGTTGTAATAAGCAGGTTTGAATTTTTCGGGAAGAAAGCTACTCTTGGAAGAGGATGGGAAAAGAGGAAAAGTGTGGTATTGTAGAGATGTTTTTCTTTATAACAGAATATTTACTTATTCCTATTTTTTTTAAAGAATCGTCATAAGCAAGTTTACTCTCTTAGTTTCGAGAGCCCTCCCCCTTTCTCACTTGGTGGTCACGTGAACCGTTCGCCCCTCTTTAGTTTTGTCCCTGTCCCTGTCCATTACATTTCTGGCACGTTTCTTACACTTATGTCGTAAAACAACTTATGAAAATTAGTTAACCCAAAGCACACATTGAATAATACTGTCGTGTCACTTTGTTATAGAATAAATAATACACGTTTTGAATTTTTTTAAGCCTTAGTTCTTGAATTTGAGCAAGGGGTTATTCAATGAAGAATTCACATTTACGTGAATTGTTTTTCAAATTTGCAGATGATGGAACGTAAATTAAATCAATCAGTACTGTCAGTTATCTTTTGCAAACAAAATGTTTAATCATATTAAACTTAACATTTCGTGCATTATTTGCTCCATGTTTCTGTAAACTTTTGATTGATGCCAGTGAAAAGGTAATAAATTGCATGTTTGCTTTGATTTCCAAATACACCGTCGACAACATATCATTTATACCGAGCAAACTGTGCCAGAGCGATATCAATAACATTGTGTGTCACAAGAGCTAAAAATAAAACTATTTACATTGCTGGCAAGATCGTCAGTGTTTCACTGAGGTTTCCATTTTGTAATAAAACTTATTAACTTGCTTGAAAATTGATAGCTTAACTAATAAAAATTATGTTGAAAATACTTCTGAGGGATTGTTTATTAACTTAAACATTGGAAGAAGTTTAATAAAGTAGCGAACTATAGGCATCTATTATACGAGTAAATCATGAGCTATTTCTCTCTTATGAACAGTTGCTTCTGTAATGCAAACCGCATATAACTTTTCATGTTTAATTTAAAATTTAATTTAATTTAGCTACTTTAATACGTCGTTCGTGCGGTTAACTACGTATGCGGCTCATAGACACTTTTAAATTTGTGTCGGTCGACGATCTTACCTAGTACAGGATCTACATATTTAAGTACATATTTTGGTACAGTATTAAATTTAAAAAATGGTACTTGTACTTTTTAATCCAAGCTTATTAAATCTTTGCATACCTCGGTGCGTATGATTGGTTATCTGTTTCTATTGGAAACCCAGATAAGAATCTGGATACAGAGCGATTCAGATGAAATTATTTTATGCAAGTTTCGATTGATACACTTTTTCTTGCAAAACCTTATAGAAATAGAAATATTAAATACATTGCAGTTGTAGTGAATGATACCCCATAATTATAATTATTTAGGTATTTTCGGAAGTCTATTTAGTTTAAATGTTTTCGAAAAGTTTGTAAGTTTTCAGTTTTCTCCAATCTAAAACTCACTTTTCTTAAATTTTCGTCGTCTATGACCATCTAGCATTCCCAGTTCTCATTCTGCGGATTCTACCTGAGAATTGGCTCAAGAGTTCGCAAAATATGAAAAATTCGTCATTTCGGGAATCCTCACAGCTGCACTTACTGTGAATGCGCCCTTGATCTCAAATAGAGACCTCCTTTAAATGCTTTGCAGTGTAATTTATCATTAAATTATGTTTGAATCGAAAATATAAAATATATTTTAGAACAAAATTTTGTAACCCTCATCTTTTCGTGCGTAATCCTTCGTTATTGTTTTGATTTTAAAGACGCGCTTTCAACAATAGAGAAACGGCTTGCGATTGTGTATGTGTGTGTGGTGAAGGGGTGGGGTGGGGTGGGGAGAAAAGTAACGGCCGTACGGTTCGAGAGCACGCCGCCGCGCCTATCTGCAGGTCAGGGTCACAAGGGCAGCTGCACTTCGAAGCTCACGCCGCCCGCTACAGTAAACCTGCAGCCTTTCGTGAGCTCGCGCTCTCGCGCTGTCAGCACAGGTCGGGAATGTAGTTGTGGCGGGTGAGGGAGTCATCTTGTGGTGGCGAGAGGTGGCCTGCAGGAGCCTGGGGTGTCTGTGACGGGGGGGGCGCGGCGAGGGAGGCTTGGCGGAGAGTAATAATGGGAGGCTGCACCATATCTCATATAACCCAACGAAATGGAGCGGAAAGAAAGAACGTTTTATTGTGGGCAGTAACATCAGGACGAATTGGGGATAAAAACGGACGTGAAATTAAGCTAAAATTCGGTTAGATTCTTGAGTGCGAGTCATTGCTTCCTGAATTTTGGTTTAGAAAATGCTAATATCATTTTCCAATGAATTACTTACATCATGTATTGGGAAGGAGATCAAAGAAAAAAAAATAAAACCGGCAAGCGGATGAGGCATAAAACCGCAATGAGCATACGGATTTGACTCCGACTCCGTATGTGACGTTCGGAGATGAAACACTTCCCGGCATCTAAGGGCATATAGGGATATTCTCATGTAGCAGTAAAATTTCTTCTACTAGCTCAGGTGGCTCAGGATATCAATTGATGTCACTTAGTGCCTCTGACCAGGATCGTTCATGGTGCGGTCAGAGGGGAACTTGTTTACAATCAAATTTGCTCTCTGGTGAACACGGCCCTTTATGTTTGAATATTTCACACAAACACACGATTTTAGTCCCAGCTTATCGAAAAGCGTTTAAAAGGATGCCTAATAAGAGCTTCCAGTTTATCAATATGTTGTTTATAAGGATGCGTATTCTGTGTGTTACACGTGAACTTACTTGTTGTAGTATGGAGTCGTTGACATGTTTTTAGTGATGAATTATTCATGTATATGTTGGTTTATATGATGAATTATTCATGTATATGTTGGCAGTTTAAAAGTTTTAGTGTGGCCTGATGATGAAAAAATGACATTCCCGAAACGTGACGAAAGCATAATTTGTATAATTAAGACACTCTGATGTATTAATAAAAAATCAGTGACATAACGAATTTATAAGTTGACTTAAATATTGAAACAATATGTTCCATATAAAATGATGCATAGGAATTTTTAATAGAGTTGTGTTAATTAAACTACAGTGACAAAAATTCAAACATATAATTTATTATTGTGGAAATAACATTGCGTTAACTAATGCCAAAATTAATGTTTCATTCATCCGGAACCATTGTGCGCCAACTTCCAGCTTCGCGGTGACGGGCTATGTGCGGGAGTCCTATTCAATACTCGGTAGATGAGGCTATAAATTTGGACTGAAGCACTCGTTGCTTCGCGAGCTCGGAGACAATTTTATTTACTGCTCGTCAAAGATTTACTCGCCGCTACACAGCAACGCTTCGCGCGATCCCTATGGCTATTCGCTGCTGATGCTTGATGGTTTCTCCTGGGAAGAAAAATAAACTTACATTTTAATTTAGTTCTCTATTTCGGAACCATTTCTATCTACAACAGTGATTTGTTGAAGCATTCCCTTCAAATTAAGCTACTCAATTACTGACAGTACATTTTTACGTCTTCAGACTACGGAATTTATGGGAGTGTGTTAAACATAGCGACAAGAAGGATCTATTATGTGAGTCAGGTCGCGTTGGGTGACTTTCCAGATCTGGATACCTTCATTTTCGAGTTTTTGGTACCTATTCAAGTCCTTTTCATTTTTGACAACCCAAAAGTAAGTCACTGTGACGATGTCTTACCACACCGTACATATTCCAAATTATAGAATTTCAGTTTTCCAATTGTCAACTACCTTTACATATACATTTTACAAACTCTCCAGGGATTCCAACATTAATCGTGGTCACTACTAAGATTTTCGAAATATGCAAGACAAGCTCGGTAAACACAGTTAGCGATATTCTTCCTGTTTTTTGAAGAGTGTTCACTACAAATAATACAGAAATCATAGAATTTTCTGGCATATGCGTTAAATGAATATTTTTCAGTTTTTATGAACATTCATTGTTACCTTAAGTTTTATCTGAACTGATAATGTGGAGGCTTTGAATTAATAACATCTTTAAAGTAACATATTTTATAATTTTACATTTTGGAATGAGAAGATTTTATTACGATAAACACGATAATATATAAATCAAAGATTAGTGAGTGTATATAATTGCAGGCGACTAACACACGTGTCCCTTCACAAAAATATTTCTGTGATTTTTCATTTCAATTATAACTTCATGCACATGCTTAATTCTGTGAGTACAATAAAAGGTTTCTTTTCTTTCAGAATTTGTAAACCTCCCTCATTTTATTAGCCGTCATCATGTTCTGAACGACATGAAACAATATTTTTGGCATTTTCGATTTGCCATGTGGTGAATTTGTAGCAGTTTTCTTCCTTTTTTACATCTCTTCCTTTTGTGAAACTAAATCACAAAGGTTCAGCTAGTCTATTGTAACATGCAAAATTAACACGAAGTCACCTTTAAGTACTCCATGCAATGCTACCACGCCATGGCCACTTATTCTAGATTTCGCTTATTTGAGCGTGCTATAATTTCGTTTACGTTACTTCACAGCTGCGCATGCTTAGACAAAATACACAGTATGGCTCATTTTACGGTCGCGATGGCTCGTTTCAGGAGCGTAATAACTTCTGACTGTGCGCGGGCGGTGAGCTATTAAAAATAAAAGGGCACGCCTGTGAAAATTCGTTCTTGGAAAGTTTCTTTTCTCTTCACCTCTGCTAAACTTCCATTCTATTCTCCGCGAAGCAAAAGAGATTAAGTTTGAAATGAGGTATAAAAATGTAATGAAACAATTAAATATGTGGTAGATTGTGAGAGAAAGAAGGGTAATGATTTAAACCGTTTGGGAAGTTGCTAAATTGTTTAATATTTTCGGTTCATGGTCGGGACAATTGTTTTGGATGAAGCCATGACTTTCAAAGAAAGACGCGGCTGTACATACGAACAAAGAGAGCCTGTCAAGGAACGGATTTTAATTAATTATCTCGGATTTAAATAAACTGTGAGTTTTGATAAATAAAATCATGATGTTTAAATGCTATACTATATGTTTAAGGAACGTGGGCCACGAAAGTCTCTCCGAACTTAGGAAAGAAATGATGGGGGCAGCATTTACAGCATCCGTTATCATTGTGATTATAACCATGGAGCTATGAATAGTTGAAACCAAATTTGCGTTTTCATTTGCTACAAGCTCCAACTTAATTTCGTGCTACCAACATAATTTCAGTTGATAGCACTCTCGCCATCTACTGATACCAGTGCGGAGATACTTTTCTGGTTCACTGGATTTATCGTAACTTACTAATGTAATGAATCTCTTAATTTATTTACAAGAAAAACATAGGTTTAATAGAATCGTATAAATAAGTGCCATACGCATTTCTATTTATCTTTAGAATATTGCAAATAAAAGTCCACCCTACCTTCAGTGTGATAAAGTTTAATACTAATAATTTAAGTTCATAATAATTGAATTGAAGTTAAATTTAGTTACATATTGACACACTTTTTCCATGGCTAATGATATTTTGCTTGCAGGGGCCAAGCTGGTTCCAGCTCGGGCTACTCTGGAACCGGCTTTCAGCTGCACCGACCTTTATCATCACTTTCGGCATCGGCAGTTTGGTGAGTTTGCATAGTATTTTTGTAAAACTATACGATTGCACACACAGCTTGGACGTGCAGGGGATTGGGTAACGAGACTTCAATTGACATTTAGGCAGAGATTTAGTTACGTGTTTTTACAACTCAGTTTGTGGCGTCCGCTGGAATTGAATTCGCAAACTGCCCTGATCAATGCTTTCCGTGGCTTCTGTAGTTAGGCGATTCCCGGACCAGCACTCGATGCTCATGCAATTTTCCTTACCATATCACCACCATCCATTTGTCTCCCTCACTCCAGATTGGGACGCCGCGTACTCTGGGTGAGTTCGTCTCGTTCTAATCCCCTATGGACTGAATACGCCGACGAGATCGTGCGGGCCCTACATCTGCTCGGGAGCAACATTGGGAATATGTGGGAATAGAGGGAAGTATTTTAATTTAAATGTTTATAGAAAAAACGTATACACTTCAAAATAAGTAAATACTTTAATTTTTTAAATGTTCGTGGGTCATTATATTGTAGTCTTCATCTTTATATTTTAACTCAAAAGATATAAAGACTACTAATAAGGTAAAATAAGAAAACTAACTCAATGAAAACAGATCGGAACAAAGGTGTAAACAGACCTATCTGAAATTGAAGTTTTGAACGTGTGTTTGGGAATTAGACCACGTCTCCGACGAGCGGATCTCACGTGTCAGTTGTGACCGCGTAGGCCCCGAGCCGTCCGAAGCCACCGATCGACCGATCGCTCTCCGCCCCGCGTCCGTCCTGCCCCGTCGCAGCGCGTCGCGTGGGCCCCGCACACGCGTGTGCGTCATGACAGACGTCAGCGATCGCGCGGCTCAGGTCGAGCTCCTCACACCTCACGCCCCCCACCCGCGCTTCCCACCGCACCCCGCTCCTCGCTCCTCGCTCCCCGCGCCCCGCACTTCGGTCCCCGCTCCTAACGCGACTCGCTCTCAGCACCTC